GAATGGGTGCGTTGGTAGATTGATGGGTAGGCAGCCAATGAATGGGTACGTTGGTAGATTGATGGGTAGGCAGCCAATGAATGGGTGGGTTGGTCGATGGGTAGGAAGCCAATGAATGGGTGCGTTGGTAGATTGATGAGTAGGCAGCCAATGAATGGGTGGGTTGGTCGATGGGTAGGCAGCCAATGAATGGGTGTGTTGGTAGATTGATGGGTAGGCAGCCAATGAATGAGTGGGTTGGTAGATTGATGGGTAGGCAGCCAATGAATGGGTAGGTTGGTAGATGGAACAAATGAGTGGGTTGGTCCATTTATAGATGAACGAATGGGCTGGTGGGTAGATGAATGAATGGGTGGGTGTATGTGTGAGTGGATGAGCCGGTGGGTAGATGCATGGATGAAAATATGAATGGATGAGTTGGTAGGTAGATGAATAAGTGGGTGGATGGGTAGATGGATAAGTGGATAGGCTGCCAGCCAGATGAATGAGTTGGTGGATAGACGAGTAGGTGGATGGATGAATGAATGGGTTGGGTTGGCTGGTGTGTGTGTACGTGTGTATGTATGTTGTATGTATATGTGTATGTATGGAAGGATGAATGAGTTGGCTGCTATTTGTGTATTATATATAAATATATGTGTATGTGTGTGTGTATATGTGTGTATGTATGTATGTATGGATGGATGGATGGATGGATGGATGGGTGGGTAGGTGGGTTGACTGTTGGATTTGTGTCTGAATGGATTAAGAGATAGGTCATTGAGTAGATGAACAAATATATACATATATGTATACACACACGCGCACACACAATCTCCACGGCTGAGACCATTGAGGGATATCTTCTCTCCCACCCAAGCCCTAGAGCTGTAATTCTCCTCCACCTCCATCAATCTCAGATGGTTTCCCACTCAGCTTCACGGTGGGAACTTGCTCTCTTTCCAAACCTCCCACGGAACTGGTTGGCTCTGGTTATGAGGAACTAAGTCTGCCACTTAATCACCAGTGATGTCAGTCGGGGAGCCTTCAACAAAGAGAGTTGTTCTGCTTTTATTTGTTGCTACAATGAAGAGCATGAAAAATTTAACAGCACCCTAATGGGGACCAGATGGGAGAGACACCGGCTTTCAGAGCCTTCTGTCTCTCCCACCTTCCAGCGGCCTTTGGGACAAGTGACGGGATGGCCTGCAGCCAGAAGGCTGCTCTTACAGGGCTGCAGGTTCATGTCCAGCTCAAGAATGCTTGCTGGGTTACACATCACTTTGGATCAAGTTGCATTCCTCTAGAACCCTGGTAACGTCACACTGGGGCTAAGTATGAACCTGGGCTTCTCCCTTGCTGGTTTTTTTCCCCCCACTGAATGCTGACTATGTTGTAGAATTTCTACCTATAAAACCCCAAAGCTTTGAAAATCACAATGGATGAAGCTTGATTTGGGTATGTGCTGTGCAACCTTAAACAAGTCAGTAATGTCTCTGAGCCTAAATTCTCAACTGAGAAAAGGAGAGTCAAGGGAAGACTTGGTAGGCTCGAGCAAGGCCATGCCTATCTGATTCTAAGAGACTCATACTTGTGACCCTCTGGCTACTTGGGGAAGGGACTGAAAGTTACTGAGGGACAGACTTAACAGGTGCATGGCCTGTAGGTCTCACATGGAATTTTAGATCTGAGTGGAATCTTTTGGATTGTAGAAAACAAAGCTTGCAGAGCAATACTGTATACGCCACAGCCTGGAGACACACATGCATAGAGCAGACATGTTTATTTTTTAATTATTTAAATTGGTTACCACTGGGCTGGGGAGATGGCCCAGCGTGTAAAAGCGCTTGCTGCACAAGATTTATGACCTGAATTCCACCCGTGAACAAAACCACGGTGGTTGCGGGCATCTGTAATCCCAGCACTCCTGCGGGAAGATGCAGAACAGAGACATGGAGAACTAACCTGGAGAGCTCAGGTGTAGAAACAACAAGGGGATCCTGCCTGAGAAACAAGATGGAAGAATCCAGTCCTCGAAGCTGAACTCCGGGTTCCACGTATGCATTGTGACACACACATGCCCATAGTCACACAATAAACAAAATAAGTCACCATAAGAAATAATGGTTCTTAGATTGATCTCTGCGACCCTGAAAGACTGAGAAACCATCAAACTCACACCACAGAACTCCACACACCAACATGGCAGAAACTGGAAGGCCCTACCTCCCTGTGGTGGCTTCTTCCATGGGATCTAGCCTGCTCTTTGGTGTAGCAGGAAGTATTTGTGAACAAGAGACAGTGCGGCTCGGCTAGCTCCCGGACCACCGCCATGTTCCCACTCTATGTTCCCATACTAATGGTGGCTGAGGCGTCAGCCCGAGAGTGCTGGCCCTGGCTCCACGAGACATTAGCATGGCTGCTGTCTCTGCCAGTCAGCTCTGTGGAGTCTGTGGCTCTCAGCATGGCTCTTAGGCCAACTCTGCCACCCTCATAATGCTCGGCTTAACCCCCAACAATATCTGCCGTGCTCACGGTACCCAGTAGAATGAAGACTCTTAAAGCTTAAAGATTATCCAATGGATTTATATATCAGCAAATACTCAATACACAAGATGCCCACACAACTAGAATTGTTACCCAATGTCTAATCTCTTGATATGAATAGATGCCTGAGACTCCTAGAGACACGAACATCTCCCGCCATTTTCCTCTCCTTCTCCTCCTCTCCTTCCTCTTTCCTTCCTCCTCCCAACTCCCAGCTCCACCTACCTCTTCTACTGCCCAATCACCGAGCTCCACTGCAAACACAATGGGCAAAAAAATTCCTGCCACACGTTGGTGTTTTCTGTTTAGAGTCTACAAGCTCACGAGTTCACAGATCCAGACTTAGAGCAAAACTCATTTGAAAGAAATCAAGGCAAAAAGCAGACAATCCCTCCTCCATTTTCAAGACAGCTCACAGCTCCTTCCTCCAACACAACCCCAGAGCCCTTAACCCTGTGCTCTGGGCCACCAAGTAATCTATTGGTCCCTGAGGGGTCAGAGACCCTGCCCATGATTCCCTGGCTCTGATCACCACCCTTAAGGTCTTGCCATTCCTGGGTAGCTGGTTAAGATTCTTGGGGTTAAGATGGATGAGACATGAATAGTGGGTTGGCTTCACTTCTTCTTACGGGCTGTTGTTCTCACAAGAGGTCACTAGAAGGCAGAGTTGGAGGGCTACTAAGCCACCTTCAGATCATGACCTTGAGATAGCCTTTCTGTAGCCCAGGCTAGCCAAACAACACTCATAGCAAGAGGTGGGATTCTGAGAATGAGCCTTCATGCCTGGTTCTTAGCGGTCTCTCCCTTTAGCAGTCTAGACAACAAAACCCTTGACAGCCACGGCAAGAATCAGGCACAGTACCATGCACACTGTCGGCGGAAGTGCCCGCAGCTGTGGATCCTGCCTTGTCATCTAATGAAGGCTGACATGTGTCATCACAGAGAGCAGGGCTCCATCCCTCCTGTCCTCATTTCTACAACACATTCGGATCTTAATGCATGTCAAAACGAGAGATGCTTTCTGTTTGGCCTCTGGGGTTCACTAGGGTAGAATTTGCCAAAATGTGATGGCCAGGAGCTGGTTGATCTGTGAATGCTTTCTCTTCGTTTCTAGCCTGCAGATCGCTGTACCCCCCAAACTCTCCCTTTGGCTGTTCAGAGGCTTGCTCTGCCTGCACAGAGGCCCTGCAGAGCGTCTCCTAGCTCCTCTCCCATGGTTCAGAGGGATCATTAAATTATCACAATGTCTGGAACAGAGCAATGACTCCAGCTTCAGTTTGCGGCTTCTGAAGGACTGACTGATCCAGCACTAACGCAGGGTCTCCTGGGAATGTGAGGCCAGAGCCCTGTGAGGCTCCCAGGCACCGTAGCTAAGTTACGTGCATGGCTCTGTGGGCATGTGTGGGTATGTGCCTGTGTGTGCTTTATATACAGGATGGTTGCGTGTGGTGTGCTCCAGTCTGTAACTAACTGTAATTCTGTGTACAGTGTGAGATGTGGGGTGGGCGTGTTATGTGTATCGTACACGGGATTTGTGTGGTGAGAGGATGTTCGTGCCTTCAGGTATGCATGTAATCGTGTGTGCATGTCTGTGGCTATGCTAGTGTATAGTATATGCAGGTTTGCCTTTGTGAAGAGCGTGTGTTTGTACAACACAGGTTATGTGTGCATATGTGTATGGGGTTTTGGTGTGTGTGTCTATGTATGACTCTGTGAGGCGTGTGTGTGTGTGTGTGTATGTGTGTGTAGTCTGCACGTGTGCAGGTGTGAGTAGTGTGAGTGTGTGACCGTCTACGGTGCACACATGTGTATCTGTCAGTGTGTATGTGTGTGTAGTCTGCACGCATGCAGGGGTGAGTAGTGTGAGTGTGTGACCATCTATGGTGCACACATGTGTATCTGTCAGTGTGCATGTGTGCCTGCTGTGATTCCTTCTCCCTACCCTTATTCAAAGCTTAGTCATGAGTTTAGTGGCAGGGCTCCCTGATACCACGTAGTATCCTTGATCTCTCCATGTGACCCACAGGGAAGTAGAGCAAGCATCGAGGCAGACTGAGGCTGCCATGTGTCTTGTCTGCCTTCATCATCTTCACCATCATCACCGCCATCACCATCATCATAATCATCACCATCATCGTCACTGTCATCACCATCTGCATCATCTTCATTCTTGACATACAATTAGAAGCTTATTAATATTATTATTAATTTTTTGCAGTGCTGGAGATTGAATCTAGGATCTCGCCTATAATTAGGCAAGCACTCTGCCACAGCCACCCCTCCCACCCCCAGCCCTGCAAGCCTGTGAACCCTCTAGGAATGTTCTCAACAGTCCCCCATGTCGGAGGGCCCGTGACCATTGAACAAAGGAGCTCACCCTGTGCACAGCAGTCTGCCTCTACCTCTAGCCTCCTCCTTACTCTCTCAGGAACAGAGGCATGGTGGTAAGGGTGGTGGCAATCTCATGACTTAGTACACAGTCTTCGTGACGTCAAGATCAGATGAAAATTAGCCAGGCACAGAGATGCATACGTTGCCAAGGAGACCATCCAGTGAGTTGCCATTCGTGTAGAAAGGGGGTGCATTGGGGACGATTCATTCTGCAGCTGGTTTTGTTTGGAAGAGGCCATGTGAAAATAAGGGGTGCATGGATATTGGGCACCTAGAGGTGTGGCCGGGGGAGGTACTGTGGACTCCTTGCCAAGTGCTCTTCTGTGGTGCAGGAAGGATAAAGTGAGGCTGCCATTTGCCCTTTGTCAGAATGTTCTGGATATGACAAGACTTTTCCAGCTCAGATAGGAGGATAGGAAGACACAGTGGTCAGAACCCATTAGCGCACTGCTATGAGTGACCATGGAGACCAGGAGACCCTGAACCGCCATGGTTCAGCAACATTCTCACCCCTGATGGCAACAACAGGTTCTCTGTCAGGAGGGGCCAGCATGGACCTGGGGGAGGGCATAAGGTAGGAGGGCTGCTCCTGGAACCTTGGCATCCACTGTACTCCCAAGATAGTTCTGTGAACCACTTACCCACCCGTGACAAACCCGTTCCTTCCTAAACCAGTTAGCCTGGACTCCGTTGTCTGAAACTAAACCAATTGATTCTAGAATCTTCCCTCAACTAGTCCCCCAGGACACGTGGGAGTCCTGTCATAGTTGTGGGCTTTAGTGTTAGTCCTAAGCCATGAGGAATGCCAAGCAGATGGCAGACAGGATACCCTGCTCCAAACCCACCAGGCAGGACTGAGATGGGGATGGGGCCTCCTGAGCAAGTGGCTCCCTGTCCTTGTTTAGTATGTAGCTGGCATGTTCAAGGCCCATCCCATGCAGTACTTACGACCACGTCCCTCCGAGGGCACAATCAGGGAGACAGAACTTGCTCAAGGTCAAACGCCTTGCAGTTGCAGTCAGTCAAGCCCCACGCTCACCAGACGGATCCAAACCTGCTCAGATTCACGAATCTGAAGAAAGCAAATTAAGAGCAAAAGGAAGCCCATAAAGACCATGTTTAAAAAAAAATAAAAATTTAATTTCGGGGTGATTTGAGAAAGCCTGCAAAAAAAAAAACTAGCACAGAGTTCCCCTGAGCCTCCGCTGACTCCTTACACTCCTCGGGCACCCGTCAAAACCGAGAGGACATTAACACCGCACAGCCGCCGCCATAAGGGAACTCCAAGCTGCATTTCGTTGGCTTCCTCTAATGGCCTCTCCTCTAATGGCCTCTCGCTGTTCCAGGATACAATCCAGAACACATATTGCACTTTAGACTTTTCTTTAAAAAAAAAAAAGTTTTCTCTTTGTTAGCTTGTCTCCGCCTTCCAAAGGAAAGGGGGCTTCAGTTACTTGCACATGCTCAAGGCCGAGACACATGCACCGGCAATGCGAGCCAGGCTGTGGCTCAGAGCAATTTTAAGCAATTTCCCTTTACACTGTTCAGTGAGTGAGCCCTCTCAGAGAAACTGGCAGCGGAGGCCACAGGCAGACCAAGGCCCAGAGCAAAGGCAGGACCCAAGCCAGACAATTGCAAGGCCTTCCAGCCATGGAGGCTCCTGGCAAGTCAGGGATCTCTCTCGGGGTGCCTAATCTAGGGCCGCAGTGTAAAGGAGGTCACAGAGGCAGCCAGAGCTGGCAGGGACCCACAAGGGAGGCCAAGGAATGCATTAGGTTCTTACCAGGGGTCCACGAGAAGGGGAAGAACCTTCCTCATGAGAACTTGTCATTGGGAGCTATGGATGAAAACAGAATTGTCTCATACCTGACTTAGGAAAACACACACACACACACACACACACACACAGACACACACACACGCACACACAGAGTCACAAACCCAAATGAATCACCCAGCCAGGCATACGAGCACTACAGGTGGAATTAGGAAGCAAGTACATGTAACTCGTGCGTGTGCATGTGTGTACACATGCATGCGTGTGTATATGCATGTGCATGTGTGTGTGTGTGTGTGTGTGTGCTCGTGCATGTGTATGAGTGTGGTAAAATGTTACTTTTACAGCAAG